GAGGCAAGGAGAGAATGAAGGGGCCGCTGGACCCTCAGCGGTGTGAAGAAACAGGCAGGTATTTGATATCTGCGATGGCAGATCTGCTTTGGAACCAATAACAACAAGCATGACCCATGGACGAAATGAGGCCAGCGATTTGTTACAGAAGTTAATAGTTTTTGAGTTGTGGGTTGTGCACCTCCTTTCTCCTCCAACCAAGTACATCTGAGGCTGGCTGTCCATTCTGTAGCCTCTGGAATTTAGCCATTTGGCTTGTTATGTTGGGTAAGTTGTGCCTTTTTTATGAAACTTGAGATCTGAACTAGTAAAGAGACTCTCCACTAAGGTTACTGGAGAAATCTTTCAGGAGATCTCAAGAGGCCCTGGTTCCCTGTGAATTACCATTCCCGTGAGAAGGAGGCAAAGGTGGTGTCGGGAGAGGGAACAAACACAGGGCTGTAGGGCCAGAACGTTGGCGAGACTACGGAAGCAACTGTATAAAGCATCACTTTCTAGTCTTTTCTTCACCAGTGTCTGATCCATTGCTAATAAAATGGATGAGCTGAGGCTACAGGCTGCAATGAATAACACTGTGAGGGACAGCTGCATCATTCTTATTAGAGAGACATGGCTCCATTCATCCATCCTGCTATTGAATTACCAGGAGCACAGCATCATGACAGTACCAGTGACTCTGGTAAAAGTAGCCAGTCACTGCTCCCCAGATTTGGAGTATGTGACCATTAAATGCAGACCTGTTTATCTCCCCAGGGAATTCACTGTAGTCATGCTAACAGCTGTGTATATTCCACTGGATGCTAATGCTAACTTGGCTCTTAGTCATTTGCATAATAGTATTAGTTCACAACAAAGCAGGTGTCCTGACTCTACACATTTTAGCTGGGGACTTCAACCATGTGGATTTAAAAACAGTGCAACCAGGGGAGCTAACACTTTTGATAAGGTTTATTCAGATATCAAGTTGGGCTACAGGCCTAGACCATTACCACATCTCAGACAGTCTGACCATTTGGCTCTGCACTTAATCCCTGCATATATCCCCAGGAGGAGAACCACTGTTGCCAATATTAGAACTGTTAGAACCTGGCCTCTCAATAACTGCAGGTCTGTTTTAGTTGAACAGAGTGGGACATTTTTGAACACCAAATCCTGGAGGTGTTCACTGACACTGTCACAGTGATGAAATATGCACATCTGAGTCTTTCCCAATCAGAAGCCTTGGATGACCAAGGAGGTACAGCGTCTGCTGAAAGAGAGGAATACTGCCTTAAGGTCTGGTGATAGGGCTCTCTATAGTGTGGCCCAATCTAACCTAAAGAAAGGCATCAGGAAGGCCAAAGAGGATTACAGGAGTAGGACTGAGGAGCACCTGGACAGGCAGGTGTGGGAGGGGATTCAGCACCTTACTAATTACAGGTCCAATGTTGGTGTTGCCGAAGGGGATACATCACTAGCGAAGGAGCTGAACCTCTTTTTTGCCTGCTTTGAGGTGGAGGCACGAGAGGTTGACAAATCATATCCAGCAGCCTGCAATAAGTGTCGCCCTCAGAGTGGAGGAGTGGGAGGTGAGGCGTACTTTCAGGGCCGTTGACCCAAGGAAGGCTGCGGGACCTGATGGTGTCCTGGATGTGTGCTGAAGGACTTTGCAGATTACCTGGCCGGAGTCTTTACTAAGATCTTTAATCAGTCCCTGTTGCAGTATGCTGGTCCACCCTGCCTAAAAGCCTCCACCAGTTCCTCTGCCCAAGAAACGTGCTAACTGTTTTAATGACCACCGGCCAGTAGCACTCTCTCTATTGGTCATAAAGTGCTCTGAGAAACTGGTCGGGACTCATATTAAATCATTCTTACCCCCTACCTTTGACAAGCATATGTAGAGATATACGCTACTTACACGTGTGTGTGTCCACGCTCGGCTGTTCTTGATAGGGGTCACCACAGCAATAATCAACTGTTTCCACACTGACGATTCACATGGTAAATTTGGCAAGTTTTTATGCTGGATGCCATTCCTGAGTGGCACAGAAGTCACTGGCTTGCAACCTCTTATACTTGTGTGTATAGAAGAAAGAATGTATAAGTTAATAAAAATTAAAAAAAAACTATCTAATACACCTACATGCAGTACTGGATACTTCAACCACTTCTAAATGATCACTGTAGTGTTCAGTTCGAGCACAGACAGGTGTTTGTGTTATCTGCCTACAGCTGCTAGCTAGCGTTAACTCCCAAACCAAGAGCTGAGATCATGGTGCAGTCATTTTTCAGACTGCCGCTCTCATCAATGAGATCTCTAGGTCTGCTACAAGTTAGGCACAGTCAGCTAAGGTGATCCATTTGAATTAGGTTTAGGTCTCCATAATGTGAGATCTAAATGATTTAATTAACTTTTTAGACAAACAAACCATGAATGTATGCAGGTAAATTCAGCACATCCCTCCCAAAATGGTGCCCCCATATGATATGCTACTATTGCACAACATAGGCTATACATGTACTGGTGACCTGCAGCATATTCACTTGAAAAGTAATATACAAATAAAAATCAGAAATATCAGACAATAAACCATTTTATGATGTAAAGGATCAGCTAAATAAGGCCTATACCAGTGGGGGGATTTAAAAAATGCTATACTTCTGCTTGATGCTAATCAGTTAGCAAGCAGCTTGCCTGACCTGTAGTGGCCTTATTGGTGCATGTACTGGGACACTGAAAAACTACAGAGTAGTAAAGTAACCCATACACATACTGGGTATGAGGATGGAGGAAGGAGAAGGAATCAGCACAGATTCTATCACAGGTGCACTACTGAATGTTAGTGTGTACCTGAAGTAAATTAATGCTCTGTAGATCAGTTAATATGATCGGGTTGGAATACTCTTCAAAAGTTGTTTATTGTTGCATCACATAAAATAAACTGAATAATACACCACACATGTAGTTGCCTATTTTAAGGTTGGACAATTCATTTTGAATGTAATGACTATAATTGGATGATGGTTAAAATTATGTCTGCTTCATACAATTTTGTTATAAGGTGGTGACAAATTTAACATTACTCTCAGCAGTTTCATCATTGCTGTGATGTACTTTTACAGTATAATAAAATTAATATATTTCAAACAAGCTACATTTTAAATTTGGGGTCTGTTGTGGTCAAAATTGGTAGTTTACAGTATATTTGCAGATGTTGGGGTAATCCGTGATGTATTTTTGTAAGCTTGGGCTTCAAGCTGAAAACGTGTGAGAACCACTGAAGTGGCCTTCTAATTAGAGCCATCTTACAGTATGTACAAGGAGTAAATAATATTTAGACATTGTTGTTAATTTCCCCCAAAATGCTGTGAAATATAATGTAGAACATACATTATAACTAGAACACCCCCTCCCAAAAAAACAAAAACACCAAAAACTATCTACAGTGTATCAAGAGCTACACAGATAGGTGTGGCCCAGTCATACAAAATTATATCTCAGAGATCTTAATTTTTGAAAGAGATTTTGTTTTATTCTGCTTGATGTGGACATGTAGACAGCCTGACCAGCAGAGTAAAAGCCAAAATGTGTAGAAGAATGAATAAGTGGGAGGGAAGAAGTGGAAAGTCAGCAATTGCAGATACAAAAGCAAGCTCATGGTATGTTGAGAAATTAGGTGGAAGAGTTTTTGTAGGACATTAAACATAAAAGTGTGTGAGGTAGTGTGTTTTCCATCCAACTTTACTGAATATAGCCTGTTTCAAAGTCTGTGTACTCCTTTCTGTATAGCTGCCGGTCGATATCAACGGCTTCTCAGTTTTGCCGTGCAATGAGTTCTCAATAAAACCGATGAACAGGCACCCCATCCTCCTGTTATAAAATCCAATTCCACAGACAACTGCAGCTTTGCCCATAATGGATTCTCTATTTCATAGGCTTTGGCTTGTGTTCCTATGGTGCTTGGTTAATATTTCAGCCCACTGTCTCTTTCCTGCTCACTTTGTTGTATTGATTTATTTGTGCATCCCCCTACATACACCTCTGTGGGAGGAAGATGATCTATTATGGAATTTAATGCCTTTCAAAAGAGCTAATTTTATTTATTTATTCCTCCCTTTTTCTTGAGAAAATGATGGCAGACTACAGTATGCTTCATCGATGAATTAGAGTGGTCAGAAAAGGTAATGTCCATTATCCTGCAAACAGGAAGTATCTCACGGGATGTAGGTTAACGGTGAACAGTGTCCTTTGAATCACATGAAGTGTAGATATACCAGAGGACTTTTGTTTCCTGCTTGTTGTTAGAGGGGAGGAAGCAGCATCAGGATATGTGAGGATGTTGAA